TCCAACCTATATATTATAAACGTCTGGATAGAATATTTATGTAACTAACGGGGATAAGCATAAATGTTATTGCTATAGTGATAACCAAGACAGCTGGAAGGATAAAAGATTAAAATCAGTTTTCAAATTCAGATTTTGAAAAACTTACGTAGATAATATATATGCATAGGGAGTGCTTATTGAACAAATATCCTTGACCACATATGACACCACTGTATAAATGTAGTGGTAGTAGACACTACTACTACTAAAACAGAATGAGACAAAAAATGGTGTAATTTATACACATAGAACTTGTCTGCACATTAAACACTACCATCTATTGTTCTATAAAGAAAGAATGAAAAGAAAATTTTCATTGTCTTTAAAATGGGTAAATATGGTCTCAGTTTCTTTCATACTATATTAGAAAAATCTTCCACTCTGGTCTGGTCAGTTTAGATCCTTAATCTCAGTGAATACATTTGCAAACATGGGGACTAAACCAAACATTTCAGTACTTTGTCTTTGAACCAGAGTTTTACTGGTAAGAGTATCAGGTATTTCATTCCCTCTGATAAAAAGAGTGGGGAGAAAAGGAACCGAGTATTTGTTAATTCCTTCCTTTACTTCCCTTTTTTTTTTTTAATATATTATTATTTTTATGTTGTATTCCCCATATACTTCATGGGAAACAGCTACTATGGAATTAATGAGAAAATATTAAACTTCAGTTTTCACTTTTTTTTTCTGTTATCATTGTTACATTTTACCTCGTGGTCTGTTCAAACTGAAGCCAAAATGGTTGTCTTTCAATGGCCAAAATATACTTGAAAAAACTTCAGTCCTATTGAGTCTTACACAGGACTAAGTTAAAACTATTGTTTTTAGAGGAACTACTGACAGAATGACTCTCTCATCATGCATAAAACCCCAATTCAAAACCACTGCACGTATGTACTCTGACATGAAAAAAAAAAAAGAAAAAAAAAAGAAAAAAAAGAAAAAAAAAAAGAAAAAAGAAGAAAAAAGCAAAAGGCATTCTGGGGACAAAAGTGGTTATTTAAATTTTTAATTTTTAATTTTTTAAAGATTAATAATTAATTTTATTCTTCTCAAAAAAATAAAAAGGGAAAATAGTGGAACTTTGAGGTTTCAAATCACACATTCAAAAAGGGCTGGTAAGACCTCTGAGAGGTTATCCCTATGTTCCTCCTCCAACATCTGAACAGGAACAGTCTCTTTCTGTCCTTGGTGAGAATGGATAGTGGAAGATTATTGTACCTTCTGTCCTCAAATGACACAGAAACATTTGGTTTTAGAATGTGACATAGTATGTTTGAGGATTCTTGTGGATTGCATATTCTACTTCTGTAACTTCTTTATTTATCATTGATTTTTCTCCCTCATGATCAAGCCAACTGGTCAAAAGTGTGATGTGTTAGTTGCAAAATTTGCACTCTGGAAACATTTAGTAACCTTATACCTTAATTTACATATACATGCACAATGCAGTCTTTTATAAGCATTTAAGGCCTAATTCAAATTCCATCATATCACTAAAAAAATCCTCGTTGATTTCAATGGGCATCAAAGTGAGCCTCAAAACTGGCTGCAGGAAGAAATCTGCCAAGCACAGTCAGTTCACATTGATTCCAGAACAACATTGCTCATCTCTGCAAACCAGAAGGTGGTTCAGAGGTTTCATTTCTACAGGTAACTTGTTGATTGTTCACTTCCAAAAGAATTTTTAATTTGCTCTTTGTGAAAAACTAGCTCATACTTTGTGGTCACAATTCAAAACTAAGTAGTATCTAAGAAATACATTATGAGTCTGAAAGATACTAACACTGCAATCATGTTTTTTGTTGTTGTTGAACAACTTTTATCACTTTTTCCTTGCTTATTCATTTTTTTCAGGTTTTCAGAATAATTCTGCTATTGACCAACTGTGTTACTAGTGTAAAAGCGACTCAGGAATTTTCAAGAACCATAATATAATTCAGAATACAAAACAGACTCCATCCAGATCCCTTACAAAACACTGAGATGCTGAAAAGATGCCGTTTATCATTTATGGGAGGTTGTGGAAATTCACAAAAAGAGAGAGGAAACACCATCAACTTCACTAACATGTCATAACACAGATGCTAGGCTATTTTTTAAGGAACTTGTGTTTTCTTTTTTCCTACACTTTGATATACAAAGTATCTAGGAACAAGAGGAAAATGTATTTCTGGGTGACCCATTTACCACCAAAGTTACTTAAACATTACTGAATAAATGCATTTTAAGCAGCTACAGTATTTGCAATTTTGACCTCCCACTGTGTTAACTCTCTGAAGAATTAATAAAAAACAATAATGAAGTAACTTGATTGATGTTTCTCTCCTAATCTTTGGTCTTACATTCCTTCCAGAAACAGTTGGGAAAAGTCTCAGTAGCAATAGTGAATTACACTTCATTTTATTTTAAGGACATATGCCAATTTGACTAGCCAGGGATAACAGAATCATATTAAATATGCTGGTTAAGAAAGTCATGCAACTTACAGCCCCACGACTTAGTTCCATTAAGGAAAATGAGGAATAAGCCAAGATGTTTTTAAATGCTGTAACAAATGAACAAGCAAGCTGGAAACTTATAATCAAATGAATTAAGCATCAGAGTATCCAGAATACTAACCCCCCAGCCACTATTCTTTATGATTCAACGATTCATAATAAGAACTGTTTGGAAATTATATGCACATATGGTTTTTAATTCA